ATGAGCTTATAGTTATAAAAATTAAGCTTTTAGAAATAACATATGATGAAAAACTGAAAGTGACTGGACAAAAAATACAAAAAAAAATTATTAATACATAGTAGTATGCCCTTTTGCTTCAAATAATGAAAATATTCTATCATTCATTGACAAAACAAGATTCTCATAGATACATTTTGGTATTTTGTACCATTCTTCAACTACATATTTTTCTAATTTTTCAATATTTTTTTGGTTTCCTTAAATGTACATTTCTCTTCAAAATAATCCAAAGATGTTCTGTTGGATTCATGTCAGGAGATTGAGAAGGTCATTCTAATACTTCGATATCTTTATTTTCAAAAAAATCGTTAACAATACCCGATGTATGTTTAGAGTCGTTGTCTTGTTGAAATAAAAAATCTTCCTCCATATTTAATTTTCTTATTGAGGCCATTAAATTTCTTTTTAAAATCTTAGTGTATTTTAAACTATCCATCTTTCCTTTGATAATTTCAATATTACCAACACCTTTTGATGAGAAACAACCCCAAATCATTAATGATCCTCCTCCCATGTTTAACAGATGGTGTCATAAACCTTTCATTAAATCTTTCACCTTTTGGTCTTCTAACATAAACCATGCCATCAGAGTCAAAAAGGTTGATTTTAGTTTCATCACTCCACAATATTGATATCCAAAAATCATTATCTTTCCATAAATGTTTTTTGGAAAAATTAAATCTTTTTAAAATATAAATTTTGCTCAGTAATGGTTTTTTCAGTGACTTATACCCCTTTAAATCCACCTGAGATAACTTTCTTCTTATTGTTCTTCTAGAAACTTTTAAATTTAAATCTTCTTTTATTTCCTCTTTTAATTTATTAGATCCAATTTTTAGATTTTTACTTACTTTTAATTTCAAATAATTCACTGCATGATCATTTAACAATACATCTCTTTCTGAACCGCGTTTTCTGTCAAAATTGCCATATTCATGATATCTTTTAATTACTCTAAATAATGTTGAATTATTGATATTAAACTTTTTTAATATTTCAATTTTATCAACATTAGCTTCATATAAAGCAATTATTTGTGCTTTTTCTTCATTTGTTAAGTGTTTTGCCATGAGGCAATAAAAAATTAATATTTTTAAATTTAAAATGGAGGGAAAGATAAAAAAAATTTATTTTATTGCATTTTTTTGTCCAGTCACTTTCAGTTTTTCATCATATGTTATTTCTAAAAGCTTAATTTTTATAACTATAAGCTCATTTTTTATACATATTTGATAACATTACAAGTTTATTATCAGTTTCAAAATTTATTGTTTTCGTATTTAATCTATGTGGGTATTGCAATTTTTTTGACCGCCACTGTATAAACAATATATCAATAAAAATTATTTTTATTTTAAAAGCTAGTTTGATAAAATTTTAACGAAGGGTCTTGAATTACAAATCAATGAATGTTTTAGATTTAACAAAGAATCAATTGTTTTGCTCACAAGAATATTTTATACACAATCAAATACATCGTTAGTAGTTTTCCAAGTTAAATTCATTGTATTTTTATATTTTATAGGGATAAAAATATCGTATAGAAATTTGACATTGAAATTTGACGTGTAAATTTCGACAACATATTTATTTGTTAATGAAGTTGTTGAAATAATATTAAATTTTTAAAATGATTATATTAAACTACTTAATATTAATGAATTTGAACAATTATCAAATAAATTCATGTTTTATTCCAATTTTTTAATATTATATTAGTTATAAATGATACATATATTCCAATAACCAATTTAACTAATAATAGAGTGTGATTTATAAACAAAAAAAGACATACACACATAAATTTTTTAATAGTGGCTGATGTAAATTTTAAAACAAGATTTCTTTTTGCCGGCACATTTGGATTATCACACGATTCAACGGTGCTTAAGTTGTCAAAATTTAAAGAATGATGTGATAATATTTTTACAGATACTAATTTAAACTACCACATATTAGGCAATAAAGTATATCCAAATTTTATTATATTGGAAAACCATTTAAAGGTGTACTATATCAGTCAAGATATAATGATTTACTAATACCACAGAGAGTAGTTGTTAAAAAGACAATTGGTTTTTTAAAGAAAAATTTCAAAGATTTCGTCATAAAATAAAAAATGGTGAAAATGAATTTACTTTCAAAATGGTTTGTGCAGCCGTAATTATTTATAGTTTGACAATAAATGATAGGTTAAACAACACACAAGATCAATTGATTAATGAAATAATAAATGAAGAAGTTGCAAATGAAAAAATATATTGGTCTTTAAAAAGTTTTTGATTAATTTCAAGTATCTTATCATTACTTGTTTATAATTCATTAGCTAGTTTTTC